ACTGCACCTCGCGCCCTTGCCGGGTCCTTACTCGCGCGGCTCGGAGTGAACCGGTTCTCGCCATGGCATTCGCAAGCTGGTGGTACAAGACGGTAAATAGCAGGGTCCATGTCTGGGCAAGACTGGGAACCGAGTGTGTTTGCTTTGCTTTAGCGTTCTGGGTGTGCAGACGAGGTATTGTCCGGGGCTTGGCTGCGAAGGAGTGGGAACCGGGTGCGACCTTCTCGCAGACCTTCAGATTAGGCTTCCGAAGAAGCAGGAGGCGCACCCTCCAGTGGTATGTGAGTGCGAGCGCGCCCTGGCTTGCGAGTTGGTGCAAGACGACGCACCAGACTCATCGCACGCTCACAAGTTAAATGGAATAAGAATTGGAGTTGCAGGAATTCCGCCCCTGGACGCGGATTCCTGGATGAACTCTGACGAAGCTCGCAAAAGCTGAGATCTAGGAATTATTTTTAAGCCCAAATTAAGTTTAATACTTTGAGAGGAAGGTTTTTGGACGTGCATTCTCAAACGCAAGAAGAGGAGAGGCAGCTGAGATAAAAGGTAGTGCAGGCCACACCCCAGGGAAACTCTCTGTACATTGGATCAGGGATGTGACCTGGGTAAAGGTGGTGTTACAATCCCACCCTAATCCTCTTTAACATAAAATTACAATTACAAAATGGAGGCCAACCACACAATTCTGGGAATCATGGCCCAGCCAAATTGATACACACATTTTTGGGGGGACATAATTCAAACCATGACAGTAGTTTAATTCTTTTTTCGTATTAATTCTTCAAAATCCAGTGTGTATTTTACACATAGAGCACATCTGAATTTGCACTTGCTACATCTCAAGTGCTCAGGCTTGTGGCTATAGTGTTAGACAGTACAATTCTAGATCATCAGTTCTTTTTTTTTTTTTTTTAGGTGAGGGAGGTTTGTGATCCTAGACCATTTTTTGAGGGAGGTTTGTGATCCTAGACCATTTTTAGAATCAAATGAAAATTTATGGACCGTTTTCCCACAACAAAACACACAATTTCCTACATTCCCATATAGCTTTAGAGAATTCAGAGATCCCCTAGAAATCTACAAGTCCCTGGGAGATATATATATATATTAGCTTAACGGCAGTTGTAAAGCTTTTAAAATAAGTTTTCCTTAAAAGAAAATGGCACAACTTGAAGAATAGAACTTTAAAAATCACACTGATAGGATTTCC